GATTCGCCGGGACAACCGCGTTTCGTACAAAGCGTTAATACAAGTTAGAGAAGTAACTTGGCACGCGCAATACGAAGTGCATGTGTGCCGTTTCAAGCCTAAAAGAGTAGTGGTGTAGGAACGGCCCAAGTTACTCGGCGGCGCATTTTACGTAACGTATTCTATCGCAACTGAGAAAATAGGCATCCCCAGCTTTCACTCTGGATCATGTGCAAGACCTTTTCCTAGAGCAGGGATGGCCACAGTGACATGGGGTAAGAGCCGCAGACAAAACTACCAAATATCAGAGTGCCGCGGAAAAAATAAAGGAAGGAGGCTATTAATTACAAGAAATGATATGGAGGGAACAGTCCATTCCAGAGGGGACAAGGTTATTTCTCAGCTACAACAAATAACAGCGGGAAGCACAACGTTTCTTCAAACCGTTAAGCAGAGATGAATGCAATATTCGCTAGCCAACCACGATATACGTATAGAGTTCGAAATTCGTTCAAGAACAATAAAGGAAGCAGGGTCTGACGACATTTATGAGTCAAGAGGAGGTCCAGCTTTATGTAGGTAGTGTAATACAATACTGCTAAAACTGTGTTCTTCTTTTAAACTTAAAAGTATTTTCGTCTTGGGGATACAGAAAGAAAAGGGGGGCGCACAAACCAGAGGGCCGCGAGTCGCACTTGAACCTGCGAAGAGCCGCATGCGGCAGCCGCGGTTTGGCATCACTGGCCTAGAGCATAGCTAAAGTTTTTATATTTGATCTTCAAAAGGAAGCTGAAATACTTCCTTCACAACCAGTTCGTCGTACACAAGGTGGCAAGCGTTGAAAGTAGAACCTCCTGGATGTAAACGTGAGTCACGGTTTTACCGGTGAATACGCCTTGGCCGTTTCTGTTGCTGTTGACTCAACCGACGCAAATGTCTGAATCAGATGTTTGAGCCACAAGCTGCAGCCCATGGCGTTGCTCTGGCGCTTGAAACGTTTTGAGTGCAGGCGCGCACCAGCTGCATAAGATAAAACTATTGTGAAACGCCGCCAAAGGACCCAATAAAAAACACGAACGAACACCAACTGTCGCGAAGTACTGCAGGTCATGTTTCTGCACATTGTTGAACATGTCAAGTCGCGTTCCTATATTTCGCTAGGTGTGCACTATCTAGTCCTGATGTGCTATGTTAAGAATGGCATATTCCCAAGCCATATCGGCTCAAAAGTAAACGAAAAAGAAATGGTACAAATTCTGTTGTAGAACTGGTCATGGAGTGTCCGTCGGCCCTACTGAGACGGGTGTCGCAAACTCCAAATAAAATCGGTTGCTTCCAGAACATGTCCTTGACGTGATCAACATCATAGACAGCTGTGTTCCCACTAAATTAGCAGCCCACAATACAAAACGCAGCAACTGTGGAATGCAGAGAAAAACCAAGCGCCAAACGAAGAAAAAAACAAGCCTCAGATTTCTAGTTTTGTTTATATCGCTGGGACGTAGTTAAGACGGGGTCCACACTCTCCCCAAGCTTCGTGATCCTTTCCTTTTGGGCGCGTCTGGAATCCACTAAAGAGCTTCATGCACAGGCCTTGTCTTCTAGGTGGCATTGCTGTAGCGCACCGCAGCTCGTGAGCGCGCGAAGCAAATGCTCGCGCTACAAAATCCAGGGATCTTGTATTCGGCTCCCACCGTGCCAATTTAGATTTGGATGACCACCGTACAGGTGTGCGGTCGTGTAGCACTGCTGCATAATAGATGTCAAACTTTAAAGCCGGAGTCAGACTGCTTATACATCATAAAAGCGACAGTCTGCAAAAAGACTCAAACGCAAGTCACCACGAGATATATTCGTCAAATGCCGCATGTCAACGATTTCAAGTAAAAACCTGGCACGCGACATTTTAACCTCGGATATATGTGCTTTGAATGCCGCATGTCAACAAGTTGAAGGAAAAACTTGTTCCGCGACATTCTGACAACGAATGTTCCGGAGTCTAATGTCTGCAGACTGCATTTTGTATGATTTATAGGCACTGTGACTCCGCTTAAAGAGATGGCGAACCGAACATATTATTGTCTATAATAAGTGGCGCACTATCTTTTCATGAGTCAGAAGCCCCTGGTGTGCGCGAGGAGCACGAGCGACGAAATTTACATCATCATATCCGCCATTCACGCTTAATAAGCTCGAATGGGGGATATGATGACGTCAATTTCGTTGCGCGTGCTTGCGCACACCGGCGGCTGCTGAGTCATGGAAAGATAGTGCGCCGCTTATTATATACGCTGAAATGTTCGGTTCACCATACCTTTAATTGCGAGGCTAGCAGAGATACCGCACTTGCCGATTGTCTCATTTGCAGCAGAGACACCAGATGCCGATTGGGGCAGACTAACCTGCCGCTGTCTAAACAAATGTGCACCACAATTATTCACTCGAAAATGGCGTTCCCAGTCTTCCTTCGTCACGTGCCAGTTTTTTTATGTCTCACTACACGGAACTTAGTTGGGGATGTTCGAACACAATAGAAGGGTTTATAACGGTGGGCTCGCAACCTTTTTGTGACCCTAAGAAAAGAAATGGGGGGACACAAATGCAAAAGTTTGGCGCCGCCAGCATATAGAATAGGGTTTTTGCAACGCAGCGCGGCGTGCTTCCGTTTCCCGCTTGCACTGCCATTGCGGCTAACAATTAGCGTAGTTATGAAAACCGAAAAAAATATATATAAAAAAAAAACTTTTCATATGCGCTCAAGAAGCAATTTTGTGTATAAATATTAGTTAAGGTAAGACCGAATCAGCCAGACCAAAGCAAGAGACAATCTAAAATCAGGATAAAACATTGTGAGCTGTCTTCAACCAAGAACAATCAAATCCGTAGCGCTCTAATTCGGCACTTGTTTTCGGATTGTTTCCTTCAACTAAAGGCCTTCAAATAAACGCCGAAACTGAGAAGAACTTGAGCAAGCATACTCTGAGAGAAGCTGCTTTATTTAGACCTTAGCTGGAACGATTTGGAAGACTTATTTTTAAGCTACAGGCTTAAGCCATGAACGAAACCTACTTGGACTTTCGGAGTACCGAGACGTCGTCATGCCAACGGTTACCGCGTCTCTTTAGGTTTAGGAACAACCAGAATCAAAAGACTATATATAGAATGGGGTACGCTCATCGCTCATTATTTTCGATGTGAGGGAGACAAAGCGAAGCGAATGCCGGCTGCACCATTCACTGGCAAAGAACGTGGCAAATACGGCCGCGATTATGTCGAATTGGCTCCGAAGCGAACGGAAAGGTCGCTGCCATGCTTGCCGACGCCAACGCAACTCGGCCCCAAGCAATTAGGGGCCCCACACTATTTTTCAAATTTTGCGTTAGGGGCGATCGCCAATCCAAAACCCAAAACCCAAAACGCAGTCTGTGTTCGGCGGATGCGCAGTGGTGAGCCCCCATTTCTTTGGGGCCCTCAAGCTTTAGAGCCCCATATTCTAAAACCCGATAGCATTGTTTGACGATCGTTTCGACAACGAGAGAAGCCGAATCGCATGGCGAGAATATTGGAGAAACAGAAGTTAACGCGCCGGCAATTCGGTGGTACATAATTACTTGAGGAAGTCGGAGGGACTTTGGCGCGGTATCCCTTCTTTTTTTGTCTCGCGTTTCTAGTTATTTTTTTAAGTAATTGCGAGTGTACGTTGAGTTGAGAAAAGCCACTGTCACTGTCAGGATGGGAACTGTATGAAGTCGTTTTCATATGTCCTCCATTTCGGCACGAGTGCACACTCGAGGCTCACAAGACTCCTAAGTGCTATTCAAGGTAGAGATATCGCACTGGAGCTACTACAACTAAAGGTTGCCCTGCCGTTTATCATCCGGTCAGTAGTTTATCACTGCATGTGCCCAAAAGGTGCACCATAAAGCTGGGGTCTTGTTCTTTTAGTATTGGCCTCGCTTGCAGTTGGTATAACATAATGATTAAAAGGAAGTTGAAGAGGTTCTTGAAAAATCAAACGAGTTAGTGGTAAATTCCGGAGTATTTTTATCCTGTGACTCTGAACACCACGTTCGGTTTCCCCGAAGATGTCGGTAAACGCGAGGAAACAAGAGAAACCACCGAAAAGTCGTAATGTCATACACAGATCTTTCGGCCTCCAAGCGCGTGTCGCTCGCATGGGCAGCGTATGGAAATGCAGGCTTGCCAGGTATAGACAATTAAAGCACGCGCCAGATGAAGCCGCCATTGCCGACCTTCTCTTGTCTTACCAGGATGCCGAGTCACTGAAGCGGGCGTTGACGAGCCTCCACACAGGCTTATGCTGGAGAGAAGGACACAGTAGCACTTAAAGTGGCAATGACCTGTCCTGCTGCGGAAATGATGAAGTGAAGCGAACGGAATAAGAGGAAACAAAAACGGAAGGTCGGTTATGGCGGCGCTCGTGCACAGCTGCCCGGAAGCGTTTATATTCTCCCCTCTATCACCAGTCGTGGCGTCTTATTTCGAACTTTTTGAAAATAGCAAGAGGGCGCGTGCATAGCTTTAATATACGCTGAAGAGTTGCGAGTGTGGAGATTCCGAAAACTCTGGATATGACGCCTCGCTCCGAGAAGAAGGAGCTTCAGCGGTACTTCGAAAATTATTTTCTGCAGCTTCCGTGAAGAAAAGTGAGAAATAATCTCAATATTTGTGATCTTTTAGGCCCAATGAAGACGATTTAAGAGTTTATCCTCAGAAACAGAACCGCTTCACTTTCCCTTTAAGCAAGTTTGCATTTGGTACCATTTGGAGTCGTTGTTTTCATCGAATGTATTTCATTAATTACCTTCCAACGTGATCGAACTATAGCAACTGGCTTTTTCATGATTTACGATTCTCTTTTGCGTTATCAAGTGACTCATCCTAGTGGCGCACTGCGCTGCACTCTGTGTCTTAAATAATAATCGAGAATCTTCAACGTAGTAAAAAAATATATATTCTTGAGCTTGATGATATTTGGAATTACCTTGCTTTGTTTTCAGGAAGTTACCTTTACTGGAGGATGGAAGTGTCTGGCCGATGTACTCCACATCTGCTGGGTCACAAGTGGTTCAACAAACGGACTCTGGCTACTCGATCGAAGAACCTCGGGACTGTGAACTTATTCGGTTTTTGTCGTCTATTATTGAAGGCTCCTGATGGCTGCAGCGTGCTTCTGATGGGTCGTTCAAAAAAGCCCTGGACACGCAATTGATCACTGTAGTTTACTGTTTTTTTGTTTTGTTTTTTTGCCTTCGTATTTACCTATGATTTAACCCGATTCTGATACAGCTACCGCCTCTGTAGCCGTTATGCTGGTTATGATGTGAGGGAAGTGCACAAAAATTTTCGTATAAATGTTTAAGAAGAGAAAAATGAAACCCGTTTACAATTCCCTGTAACGCCGGTTGGAGCGCAGCTCTTGAGGAGGAGGATGGAAGCGTACTGAGGAACCAAAATTTCGAGCTCACTAAACAAGGCCGGGCTGATAGGCGGGAAGCTGCAAAACCAAAAAATATCACTCATACCGCAATATATCTAACGGATCGACGTATTTTCTGAAAAAGAAGTGCGCGAATGAACCCGGCCGACGAGGCCAGCGACACAAGGCACGTCACGATTCCCATTCTCTCTCCCCCTCGCTACGTCCCGTCAAGCTGGGGAACCGAAGCGAGGAGGAGAGAAGAGAGGCCGCTTCTCCTCATTCTCAAATTTTCCCGGAGGACAGTTACGTCAAAGAACTCGCTTGATCGCGCCCTTCTTTTCCAAAAGTATGGCCTTCCGTTTGAAATAGCGATGTGTGTGTGATCTTTTCGAGTTCGTAGCGTCCCGTTCAACACTTCTGCAGCCTTACTTTGCGAAATCCAAATTTCGGTTCAGTATCCCTTTAAGGTCACGTGACCTCATGGGAGGTCCGGTGACGTCAAGGGGGTCACGTGACCTCAGGAGAATCACGTGACTTCAGGGGTCACGTGACCTAAGGGGGTTCACGTGACCTCAGTGGGGTCACGTGACCTTAGGGGGTCACGTGACCGCGAGGGGTCACGTGACCTTGACGATGACGATTTGATGACGTCATCAGTGACGTCACTGATGACGTCATCAGTGATGATGACGATGACGATGGGGATGCCAATGACGTCATCAGTGATGATGACGATGACGATGCGGATGCCAATGACGTCATCAGTGATGATGACGATGACAATGCGGATGACGATGACGTCACCAGGTTGCATGCAACCTGGATTGCATGCAACAGGTTGCATACAACTCGTTGTATGCCAGTTGCATGCAACCTGTTGCATGCAACTCCCGAAGGAACCCGAGGTCCTCTCGAAGGAACCCGAGGTCCTCCCGAGGTCCTACCGAAGAAACCCGAGGTCCTCCCGAGGTCCTCCCGAAGGGACCCGAGGTCCTCCCGAAGGACTTCGGGTTCCTTCGGGACGACCTCGGGTTCCTTGGGGAGGGCCTCGGGTCCCTTCGGAAAAATTTACCCATAATGCACCGCGCGGTTACGCCGACGGCGACGGCGACGGCGACGGCGACGCCGCTCAAGCCGGAAACGGGCGCCTAAGAGCTGCGCTCTAAAATGTGTACCAAGCCGCTGAGAATCTTCACCAGAGATTGAATATTTTTAGAGCGCAGCTCTTAGGGGCCCGTTTCCGGCTTGAGCGGCGTCGCCGTCGGCGTCGCCGTCGCCGTCGCCGTCGCCGTCGCCGTCGGCGTCGGCGTAACCGCGCGGTGCATCATGGGAAATGTCCCATAATGCACCGCGCGAGCCCCCCACCGGGGTCACGTGACCTCGTGGGGGGCACGTGACCCCGGTGCATCATGGGAAATGTCCCATAATGCACTGCGCGAGCCCCCCACCGGGGTCACGTGACCTCGTGGGGGGCACGTGACCCCCCGAGGTCACGTGACCCCCCCGAAGTCACGTGACTCCCCTGAGGTCACGTGACCCCCTCCTCGAGGTCACGTGACCCCCCGAGGTCACGTGACCCCCGCCGATGTCGCGTGACCCCCCGATGACGTCATCCTCACTGATGACGTCACCGGCATCCACATCGTCATCGTCATCATCACTGATGACGTCACCGGCATCCACATCGTCATCGTCATCATCACTGATGACGTCACCGGCATCCACATCGTCATCATCACTGATGACGTCACCGGCATCCACATCGTCATCGTCATCATCACTGATGACGTCACCGGTATCCGCATCGTCATCGTCATCATCACTGATGACGTCACCGGCATCCACATCGTCATCGTCATCATCACTGATGACGTCACCGGCATCCACATCATCATCGTCATCATCACTGATGACGTCACCGGCATCCACATCGTCATCGTCATCATCACTGATGACGTCACCGGCATCCACATCGTCATCATCACTGATGACGTCACCGGCATCCGCATCGTCATCGTCATCATCACTGATGACGTCACCGGCATCCACATCGTCATCGTCATCATCACTGATGACGTCACCGGCATCCACATCGTCATCATCATTGATGACGTCACCGGCATCCGCATCGTCATCGTCATCATCACTGATGACGTTACCGACATCCGCATCGTCATCGTCATCATCACTGATGACATCATCAGTGACGTCACTGATGTCGTCACCGGCATCCGCATCGTCATCATCACTCATCACTCGCTGATGACGTCATCATCACTGATGGCGTCATCAGCGACGTCACTGATGACGTCACCGACATTCGCATCGTCATCGTCATCATCACTGGTGAAGTCATCAGTGACGTCACTAATGACGTCATCAGTGACGTCAGTGATGACATCATCGGCACTGGGGGTCACGTGACCCCCAAGGTCACGTGACCCCCCACTGGTTAGTTTAACCCCCCCCCCCCCCAGTGCCCTTCCCTCCTCCTCCTCAAGCGCTGCGCTCTAATTCGGTGTTACAGGGAGCTGTAAGCGGCTTTCATTTTTTTTAAGCTCTCCTCCAAATGCGAGTGTTTGAATCTTTCTGCAAATAAAAAACAAACAAAGAAAAACATCGTGGTTCATTGTATGGTGTGCATGAGGGCACTGAACCAAACCAAACAAAAAACAAAAGTGGCTGACAGTGTCCCACGTCCAATGCAATAAAAAAGAAAGAATAAGCGACGTGCATGGCCGAGTTCCATCGCGGATGGGGTTTCACGTGAAGGCATGGGGAGAGCCACTAAATGAGCTGCGCTTGGGGTATCGGCACTCTGTTCCCCGACATTGTTGGCGGCACCGCCATTTTGGTGCTTGTGCACAAAATACGCAACTGCGGATCGTCATGATTCAAAAGTGAGACTTTTCAGCATTTGTTTCGGTGTCAGGAAGCTCATGTAATATTGCTTTTTTCTATCATGGACTGCTTAAAGATATGTGGAGAACGGAAAAGCGTTTACTGCGATTTCAGATAAAGCTTCAGATAACTCGCAACCATGATTTTAAGTCACAGTATGGGCAAGTGTCATTACTCTGAAGCGCAGCTTATTTAGTGGCACTAGACACGGAGTTTTAACCCCACCAGCCTAGTTCGTTATATATTTTTTGTGTGTTCTATAACGTTCTACTCGAACCTTGTAACGTTTCACTTGTTCCCGTGTAGGGTGTTCTAGACTACGTAGTAGGTGAGACTGACATCAAGAGTGTCACCATTTCATCGCCGATGCAAGGTTTCGCGCGCCTTTCTTTTTAAGTCTGTGGGAACAAGTTAGCATCCTCCCTTTGCCGGTAGCCGCCATACTTGTGCGGCGGCGATTAGGCATCTGGAAGTGCAAACTTAAACGCGAAACCGCGCGCACCGGGGGATATTTTGCTGTTTGTTGTGTCTTTGACGAACTATAAACTTTATATCCTACGCCTGCTTCGCTTTGCCTTTAATATTTAGTTTCGAAATTTGACACTCTGCGCACATGAAACACGAGAGATGGTCGTTTCGCATGTCGACTCCTCAGGTGGTTGTTGCAATTGGAGCTCAAGCAATAGACCCTTTCCGAAATTCAGTCTGGCCACTTTGATCACTGTCATCATCTGTGGAACGGTAGCTGTGCCATACCAATGGCGGCTTTCTAGTGACTGATAAAGGAAGACGTTGAAGAAGCTCCTAAGCGGATGATAAGTGCCTGTACATTCGGGGGTCAGTACGACGCGACATAGGAATGGAACACAAGAGCTACGTAAGCGTTTATTTCTAATAATTCATATTCAGTCAATCTGTGGGCAGCACACAATCGGCTTTAAAGCACTTTGGCGTATACAATTTTCTTGAGGCATCTGAGTTGGCTGGAGCTTTGTTCTGAACGCATGCTTCTTGGTCACCATCGAATTGAAAGTTATCGGGAAGGAACTCACACTGAACGATTCCTCGCGTGCCGTTGACTTGCAAAAGTGACGGTGCCGATACGTGTTCATTTCCGCCATTGATATGGCAAAACCTTAACTGCTTTACGAATCACCAGATGGCACTGAATTTCGGAAAGGGTCTATCCTGACTCAGGCTTTCACGCTTCTCAGAATGGAACTGAATTTTGGTGCGGAGGCGGCAGCGTGAAAATGAATCCGTAGAAAAAAAGGTAACAACTTTTTGCCTTCAATTTTATCATTTCAGGCTTGTAAACCGTACACCTTGCATGCAATTTACGAGCTCCCGCCCAATAATTAAGGGGGAAAATGTGCATTGTACTCCCCCTTTATATTCTCATAAAAACAAAACCAGACCAGAAAAAAATAGTTCGAAAAAAAAAGCCTTGACCGCCAAATGGTGAACGATTATTTTAAGCGTTGCACTAATATTTTATTTTTATTTGCAATAACAAATATATAATTACTGTAAATATACAGACGGATAAATTATACTCCAGATTTGCAGTTCCATGTACGATATTGGTTTTGTAGCGAAGGTAGTAAGAAGTTATGAGCCTATAAAAATTAATGATTCTTAGATTTACTTCCACTTGAGAACACTAAATTTGATGGCAGACACAGAGAACATCGTCGAAGCACCCACGCTTACTTTAAAACTATAAGTGTTAAGTTTTATGTACAAAAAGCCAGAGCAGTACGGTTGTGCCGCGCTGGCTACATGTTTCACATACATTGAGAGACAAGTCGCCCGTTGAGCAGGGCAAACTTCCGACAGTGTAAACATATACGTATAAATACAATACAATTAAAAATTGTGCAAAATAGACGGAATGACTCGCTTGCTAGAGCGAGTCATTCCGTCTGTGCCATACGCACGAACACTGCAAGTGAAACCGGAGGGAGCCCTTTGACTGGGTAGTAAAGATGTTCTTTCTTCCAGATTGCGCCGGGACCCGACGACGGAGGCAGCTGATGGTCGCTGACGGAAGAATAAACCAGACAGGACTCCGCGGATAGGGGAAAGAAAAAAAACACGTCTATTTAC